TAAAACTATAAACAGCAATCATAATATTATAGAAAATCTTATCTTACTTTATATTCTTATATTATCTACGGTTTACGGTTGGCTACGAAGTTATGTTTTATTTATAACTTTGATTATTACTTGGTTATTAGAAATATTTAACCAGTGGGTTACGCAGAATTGTATGTAGAATGACAAATATTATTACCAATCATACAAAAAATATGATTTATTACTATTTACATTTTATATACTAGTTCATATTTTTATTATTTTTATTATTTTTTTGATATATCAGATTATTTTGAATATATCGACAGCTAGTTTATCAGCAGAAATGCTGATCTTAAAGAATAGTCTACCAGCCAACTTTGAATTTGAAGACTTGAAAAATCAATGAAATAAAAGTTCACTATTGCGCCATTTAATAATAACAATTATTTAATTTATTTAATTTTAAAACTAGTTCTACCAACTTAAATGTTTAAGCATTAATACCACTTCATAAAATTTGTGAACATCAATTATATTAATATTATTCTGTGATATTATATAGACGTGTTCTTAGTATTAACAAAATGCCAAAATATATTTTAAGACAAAGTCACAGTTCATTTTCATAGATAGGTCGATAGGTGTATACTTATTAAATTTTGAGGACTAAAATATTTATTATGTTTCTCCGATTGCATTATTGCTCCGCCATTTATATTGTAATATAGTCTTTTATCGAACATTTCATCGAATTAAGTGGTAATGTCTACGGGACTGCAGATAGTACTTTAGACTTTAGTAGTGCAGTGGCCAGGGGGTATTATATCAGTATCATATTTCATAATATCGTGTTATTTGATTATTTCCATGTTTCATTGGAACAAATATTTTATTTTTAGAACAACAATCGCCAACTATTGATAAGTTATTCTTCTGAACAAGTAATAGTAAGCACATCAATAATAAATGAGAATAGGTACTGAAATAAACATTATTTTTGATAATATTATATTATACACCACGAATTATACTGATTAACGAATAGTGATTACTGTATAAAACAAATGTAATAATAACGAACAATATGTCTACTGTTTAGCACTAGTAAGGACAATTTATGGAAAACTAATAAATATCTTTACGATCACGAATAATTTATCTAATCATCTAGATGAGTGATTTTTTTATCTCGGATAATTTTTTCAATCATTTTCAATGGTTCATTATTTATTATCTAGATAAGATAAAGATAACAAACATTTTTATTTAGACAATCCCAACACTCCGTATGAATATTTAAAAGATTTACTCTCAGAATTTCGTATAAAAACAATATAAGTAATAGTCAAATTAGATGGTGGCCTAAAGGTAATACTTTAAAATTTTTTTAGTATTTTTAACGACCCTAATGAAAAAATTCAATTGATTTGACTCTTAATTGCGTTGTATAAAATGTCTGAATCGGATAAACTCAACTCTAAAATTAAATATAACACAAAGACGCTTCTAAATAATTTTACGAAATTTAAAACAATGATCACAGCTAATTTTTATCTTAAAATTTTTATTCGTACCTTTGCATTTTCTAAATATTTATAAACTCAGAATATGGAAGTTTTTCAAGCGCATTGTATGGTTGAAACTACTTTAGAAAGTTCAAAATAATTTTCAAAATGTTCCCTTTTATTTATTGAAGCAGCAAAACAATTTTCAAATTGGGCTAATAATTATCATATTTCGAGCATCAAAATATTGAAATAACTGTTCAAGATTATTTTTCGAAAATAATATTTGTAAAATAAAATTATGGATTAGGATTATGGTGAAGGATACACAGGTACCACCGGTGCTTATCAAAAGTTTGCTGTTGATGTATATAATGTAAAATACAGTGCTCGACTCGAGGGGGGACGCAGTGGGACGGAGTACCCCAACTAATTTTCAGAAATTTTAGAGTCCTCCTACTATTATTATGCTATAATCATAACGCTTTGCCAGTTTTGGGGACGTTCTTTTTTTTTAAAGTAAATAGAGTCTCCCTTCTTTAATTTTTCTAAGTCGAACACTGGTAACATTTGATACACTAATCAATAGTATGGAAATAAGATACTTTAATAATAGTAAATTTCCTGCCGATTGTACTTTTTTACAAACTAGCAGATTAAATAAAAAAATTCCGAAGAATGCATTTACAAAATTAGTTGAGTATTTAGTTAATCGAGACGAGATTATAACATAAATAAACATAAATAAAATTATAACAAGAGATATCCGAACATAAAGACTCTTCTTTTAATTGGGACCGCTTAAAATTAACATTCGACGAAGAGTACGAGTTTTATAATTTTATTGATGAGAAACATCAGTCTGCTAAAAGAAAGGACTAACAATTCAAATATGGGAATTAAAAAAAAAAAAAAAAATTGATAATATTATGCAATAAAATTAAAGTGTGTCGAAATTATATTTTATGTTGCTATAAAGTACTACTGAAATATAATCTGTACAGCGAAGCTTACAAGACACCATTTTTTGCATACAAATATATTCTGTCACTATTATTAACACAAGTAGCTTGCGAAAGAATATTTTTGAAATTGAAATATATCCTCAATAGAATAAGAAATTCATTGAGCCAAGAACATTTAGAATAATTTATGGTTATGTTAGCTGAATCTGATATTTTGATGGCGTTGGATAATGAAATCATAATCGACACAATTTCGCAAAAGAGTTCAAACTTTAACAAATGACTATGTATTAATGTGTAGTCTAAAATCTAAATATATGTATTTTAAATAAAAGTTATTACTTTTCTTTGTACTTAACGATTTTCTATTTTTTTAATTTTTAATAATAATATTAATTGTTCAAATTTTCAAAATAATATACAATAATTTTATATGAAAATGTATGTTTTTTCTTAGGGTTGTTTTTATATGTATAACTAATTGGGTTAATTTTTTTTGATTTTTCTATGGCACTGCATATGATTGACCAGATGAATGGTGCATTTATATTTTCTCAATTCTTTTGAATAACTCAAATGATGACATCTATTTCGAATGGTTCTTGCAATTTTTCGTTAAATTTTCAAAAGGGAAATTTCTTAATTCATCTGTGTATTACTTAATACATTATCCTGTTACTTTTTCAACGTTTATGTTGTATATTATTCATCAGGTATCTTATCAATTAGACAATAAATAATTATTATCATCCCATAAGTCTTTCACTTTTGTCTTTCACTTTGTTTTTACGATAACCATATTAGAAAAGCTTCTTTTGCACAGGCAACTGAATAATTACTGGTATACTGCAACAAACCGTAGATTATCGTCTAGAATACTAATAATGTATATACATTGAATATATTATATGCCTATAGTTTTTTTTTTTTTTTTTTTATTGTTCTTTTTTTTAATATTAGCAAACACTATTATATGACTATTATATGAATTCTCCGTCGAATAACACTTTATCGGTTAATATGTATAATTTATAAGTTTGCCTTCTTATGGTCAGACACGTTATAGCCTGCAGATTTTTGATGAAGCTGTGTGACAGATATAATTATTTTTCTATGCAATAAAACATTTATAAGACATCGTTAATTATAAAAATATATCGACGTCTTAAACAGGCTAAGGATCTGCAAAGATGTAATAGGATCTAAATGACCCGGATCCATATTATTGTCTCGAGATCTAAACGTCCCAGTATGGAAATACTACTGGAATTTTGAATGGTTTCCGCGACCTCAATGACACGAGATCGATTTGTTGCTGTGCACCGTCGAATCCGACACCCTCTGAATTTTAAATCTAGCCAAATTTTTTTAACCGTCGAATTTACAACTTCCTATTTTATAGTCGGCATATAAAATATTAGGAGAAACTTTCTGATGAAATGAATTGCATAAATTTATTATGCCAACGGTCGCTGGTTCATAACTTTCTATTTGTTTATCTAGTAATGCATGAAACACTTAAATAAGTTCGGAATCGTTATTATAAAAACCATGATAAGTAGAAATTTTCAAAACGGTTTCGAGCTAACTAGTTATAAGAAAAGTACCATCCGAAAAAAAATGTATTGTGTCTACAGTTGTGAGCATGGAACAATTTTAAATCGCTTTGCACGAGTATTAGCAACAAATCGAAACGATAAAAAAATGTTGCTGCAATTACAACGTCGTCCGAGCCACAGTTATAATATAGTACCATAATGATAATCTCAACATTAAAATAATATACACGTATGCACGAATATTTTAGAAAATAATCGCATACAGTTACAGTTGAAAAAAACATGTTATGATGTATAGCGAATAACCAACCTATTACATAGTTTAAAGTTGTATGAATTGCTATGTGGTTTTCACACAATGATGCACATTGATCAGGGAGAAACAAATCTCACCGGGTCAGAACGAAACGAATATTCGTCATCTATGAAATAATAACTCAATTTAAATTTTAATTTCTGGTGTGTGAACCTTAATTGGTTGCAGAAGAATCTATTATAATATTTTAAATTAATGTTTATACGAAATGATAATTACTCAAATTTACATTGAGCATAATAACAATATATTGGTACAAAATTATGAAATTAATTCGTGAAACCGTTTTTAAAACATTTCAAAACCAACCAGTATTAATCTTGCAGTTCTTGTGTGTATTTTTATCGTTGATGTTGTATCGATCGAAATCGGCTGATTTATAGGTTTGACTTCGTAAACGTCGAAACGGAAAAACAATTTTATAAAAATATAATAGAACCTCGGTGGTGTAAAATATGATAACCGATGAATCGATTAAATGATTCATATTTCACTACCGGAATCTTCTATGTTGCTTTGGCCATCCTGTTTGATACTCTCGTCGAAAAGAGAAGGGGTGGCCGACAATTAACGATACAGTTAGTCGGTAGGAAGAGAATCTTTGGAAGTAGGTTACGATATAAATCCGTTACTTGCAGTGGAAGGGTTCAGAATATCTCAGTAAAAGTAGGACGAGACTTATAAACTCACTGGTACACCGTCAACCAGTTTAGTTGTACCTCTTAACTACATCACGACTCAACCCAGGAAGACGGTGTGTGATTTACGCGTTGTTCTCGGCTATTCGTCTCTATAAGATCGCATTCCTTCATAGGTGAGACATTTTATATTATTATCGTAAACACTATTGCATTGGTTTGTGTTCGTATTATTCGTGTACAGATATTATACCGCTTCTGTTCATTTCGCTATACATTTTCCTAGTACGTCAACGAAACTCGTAGTTTCAGTTACATTATTTAGCCGTAAACATTTCTTAGTAGAAATCAATATGGTGTCGTTTACGATTTTTCTTTTAAACACTTTTGATTTCAATGTATGTATGTTTTTCGCTACAATTTGTTTCAAATGTATAAAATAATCGAAATTTGTGTTGAATATAGTTAAAGTATGCAATTTCAAACCATGGGTAACATTATAGTTTGTTATTTCATTGTTTGTTTTAGTATAAGCTATATTGCACCCCAAAATTAAAAATTTATGAAAATTCCTAAAATGTTCATTGAGTCCGATATCTTATTGAGTTTTCTTACATAGACGTTGGTCTAGTTTACACCAATGGCAGAAGTATAAGTGAATCTATAGATGGACATAATTGATATTTTTGACATACCGACCATATTTCAAATAAGATACTGCTATAGTTTTTTGTTATCTGCATTGTTAACCATGCAAGCACGTTAATTTTTATCAATTTAGAATCACCAACCATTTTGAGGAAAAATTTAGAAATGATAAAATAAAAAAAGATTTTTTTATTAAACTATTTACATGCTTAAAATAATACAAATATTTTGATTTTTTTAATATTTTAACTGTATTTGATATTTGAAAAAAGGTTTTATTTTTTTAACAAACTGTTACATGTTAATGATGAAGAAATTAAAATAAAATGATATAATAAACGAACCTTTATTGTCCTTTATATGTTATCTATAAGTCATTCAGTTTATCTACTTCACGAGTATTTTCTCGAACTTTTAATAAAAATGATTTATTTCAAGTAAATATTTCACATGATATTAATAGCAAATCATATGATTTTATCCAATGAGTAATGTAAACAGAGTATAAAAGATAAATACATGTAATATTTGATCGTTTAAATGCATTTAAGAGAAGCCAGAATTAATTTTATATTTGTCTGTTTCGTAAAAGTATTATTTATTATTCATTAGGTTATCAAATATAATGAAAACTATAGATTTATAAACGTATACAATTAATATTACATCGTTAAAAATGTATTGATATTTTATTTCAGCTTATGAAGTATTAAACATTATTCAAAACAACTTATCTTTTTACTTGTTTCCAATTATAGTTAACCATTTTTTTTTTATGCGATATGTTGACAAATATAAACACCTAAGTAGTACCAATGCACAGAAGTACGAAAATCGGTTGACGAATCATAAAATCTACAATTTTTAATGTTTTCTAATAGCTCTATAATTTTTTACACATCGTAATATTATATTTAAAAAATAATAATTCAATAGTACAAAATATATGTATTCATTTTTCTTCGTACCGATAATACCAGTTGAATTCTATGAGCTCTGCGTTTACGTGGCAGGGAGGTGGTTTGTTAAAACCTTATTATCTATTTTGGTAGTTGTATTTTGATCGTTTTTGACCGCTCACCGAAATTTTCTCGGTTACAAACCAGGCCAACCAACTCAACTCACGGCATTATAGTTATTATTTCCAATTTTAAATTTTGTTAAAGATTAATTATATTAGATGTAGGTAATAAATTATTTCATAATAATGTCTGTGTTCAAACGACAAACTAATTAATTTAACCAGCGATTGTATTGTAGACAAATGCATTGATGGTTGAATACACAATACCATTAACTTTACCAAAAATGTAATCCTTTCATTTTTGATAGAGTCATTCATATTTTATATTTATCTAAACATCTATTTATTATGCAATTTATTTTTTAACAGTATCTTATTAAATTAAAAACTAGCATTTATACTGCAAATCCAAGATGTTGAAATAGGTTGGCAGATTTCTATAATTTTCAACCATTAATTATTAGTGATCATAATAGAGATTATTAAAATTCCGACCATTTTTCCTTTTTGTTATTTTTAATTATTTAATTGATTTTATAATCTTTTAACTTTTAATATTTAGATTATACAAAAATTGTTTTTAACAGTATTAACAAAGAATTTTAGAAAGTAAATTAAATAATTATAAGTAATAAAACAATTATACTACTGAAAAAAAAAAACGTTTTTGTCCAAGAGAAATCTCTAAGTTGAAATGCATTGTAAATTATAGTTCTCAGAATATAGGTACGAAAGATGGGCTATTATTCTATAGTAGTTTTTCGTAATTCGTTGCGCAAAAAAAAAAATTGTATGTGATTTTGATAATATTGTTATTATTATAAGTATTAGTTATGTATTTTGGTATTTGATAACATTGATTAATTGAAATAGTTTTTAATACACATGTATCTACCACGATGTATCTTACACGATGACATAAATTCATCCATTGATATTCAATTTTAATAACAATTCGTTGATTTATCCTAATTCAACATTTAGTTTTAATCTATTTAATTTTTTAATCTATAAACTGTATATTAATTTAACACATTTAATTTTAATTACTTTTTAAATTTTTTATAAATCTATGCTTAGTTTAGCTATCAGCTTGTATAAATATCAGTATTCAAATAATTATGTTTATAGTTAAAAATTAAATTAATACCGATTCTTCAGGAGCTAGATTTTTGTATAAATTTAATAACATGACGACACAAATCTCACAAGGGAAGTACATTTTTGTGTATACGTATTAAAATGGAAAAAGGTTTTCCAATGTAATTTATTTGATCAGTATTTTTCAATTGTTATACATCATAAACAATTTCATTATTTTTTTAATGTGTGACTGTACAAAAATTTATTAATTCTAATCGTGTAGTACTGTAATTTTAATTATTAAATATTATTATTTATGGGACCATTAACCATAATATATTAATTTTAATTATTATAAATTGATTTTATACTAGAAAATGAATAGTTCACGCAACTTTTATAAATATAATAAACACAAAAATTATTGAGGATGAACAGTGGCCTTTTTTTAATCGTTATTTAAATTAAACCCGTAAACGTATAATAAAATAATAGATTTTATACTTGTATTTCATTTGTTACCTTGTACGACTAAAAGTATCGATTTTCCAATAGTTCTAATAAAAATTTAATTATAAATAAATAAAATTAGTTTTTCCATCAGTATATCGTTTAAATGTAATATTATCATCAATAACAATTTATTTTATTCTTTATCGATTACATTTGAATACATACTCAATATTTTTAGTTATTTACTATTAACGCATGCTTAATATCTGCTACTCACGTATGTTTCCAATGTGAAAATCTTCAAGGCAATGTTTCGTATTAGTATTTTTAAATTAAAAAATAGAAATACACCAAAGATCGTACACACGAATGGTTTTACTCAGAACATATTTACGAATAAAGTAAAAAAAAAAAAAAAAAACCACTGTAATAATTTATTTAACGACTGTTTGCCTCTAGGGATATTTTAATGTGGAAAAAAAATATATTTATACATATATATGTGATTTCATTTCCTAGCGATGACCTGCTAACTATAGAAGTGTCTATGTATGCTTATCAAAAATAATAATCCGTAAAGAAATTTCGTCAATTGGTTTATTATATTATATTCATTGTGTACGCGCCAATGGAATGCTGTCTTGGCTTTCTTCGCGGTGAAGGGCACAATGTTTGTACGTGTTTATGGTTTCATAGGTCAGGTTCGAGTCAGAACGAACGATACGTCATGTAAGCGATATTAATACAAAGTTAATTTACTGTCGTATAATTTAAACAAATCACAATGTTCAGAAAATAAGTATAGTTTTAATCGTTAAAATAATTTAGTGTCCGGTAAAATAATAAAATGAGTCGTAATTGAAACGAATAAGAAATTAATATGTTTGAGCTACTTCTGATGAGGTATGTCATTTTTTTATTCGATACATTCATAATACGAGTACATTTTGAAATATATTCATCCAAATATCGACCACAAAGATTGAACTATAAAACCGTTTGCTAATACAATATTGACATACTATGATTTTTATAAATATTAAATACACAGTTCCTATATTATTTTATTATATATCATATACATTTTATCATTATATAAATTGATTATTGCATTCTAAAACCTAGAGTTATTTAAAATAGAACATTTTTTCGTAGTTATTATTGATTATTTAGAATTTTTAACTATGAATAATAATCAAACTACTACCGAACTCTCATAAATAAATTATATGGTTATATGTATTTTAATCCTAGGCTGTATTAAAAATATATATTAATTATAAAAATGATAAAAAATATAAATTATTACAAATAAGGCAATCGGTTTTTTTAAATTTTTAATGTTAAAGGTTAATTTTTAAATTAAGTTCTGAATCACAAATTTTTTTTTCAATCATGTTAAATTTATTTATGGTAATTACTTAGCGATATGTGATTTCAGATAATAAATATAAATTATTAAGGACATTTGACCAAAGTCATACACTAACACACTTATAGTGACACTCATAAGATTTAGCTTTAAAAATTAATGTTTTAAATTTTAAATGATTTAAATGAATTTCATGATTTAATAATGATCCTCCTAACCTTCATATGATGAAATATATTTTTAGTTGTTTCCGAATTAAAAAGAAATACTTAAGTACTATAATTACCGTGAAGTTTAGTATTCATCTTTATTTTTAGAAATAATAATTATGTCTCATAAACTCTTGTTCATATACAATCAATTCAGTAGAAATTTATTTAAAATTAAACATGATATATAAATGTATATATCTATGTTATAATATTCAAATCAAAAGTTCAATATGAGTATATAACAAAATTAATAACCTACCTATCTTTTGAACCTATGTCAACTTCAAAAATAAAAAGTAAACATTTTTTTTTACCGTTTATAAGAATAATAAAGTGATGTCAATAAAACAATGTGTTTTAAAATCACATTAAGAATTTAATATC